AGCTTTACTCCAAATCATTAATTTCCATTATATAAAATGTTTTCGTTAAACATGCCTTCGGAAGAATGCCCAGCACATTTTGATTTTCTTTATTAACAATTAGACTAGGAAAATGGATGTTGTGAGGTATCAACTGAAAGATTGCTTAATATGCTGAACGCAAGCGTTAAGGACAATATAAGAAGGCTTGGATATAGGCATGCTGCAGAACAACTTTAGAAGCCATTTGGTGGAATGCATTAAGAATATATATAAATTTTAAAATATATAGAACCAAAAAAATGCAATGTACTTAAGCTACCCAAAGTTGTCAAGTTGTGTATAAAGCAGATGTAAGAATTTTTTTTTTTTTTTTTTGGGGGGTTACATGCATGATTTAGAAAATTAAACCAAACCAACCAATTCAATTCATAGTTAAAACCGTTTTCGTAGATAACCAGGAAGAACCAATAGCCGAACTAATGAACTAGTGAATAGATTAGATTTTCATTAAATAGCACAATTCATGCTATGCTCAAATTATTACTGTTTATTTTAAATCAAATGGCTAAATTTAATATTGATATAAATAACTTGGAGCTAAAATTTACTAAATAAATAATAAAACCATAAAACTTTTTATTATGGGCATAAAACAAGAGGTTAGTCACTAAAATATAGGTGTTTTCATTTTAAAATATGCAAGAAATTTCTAATGGCAGCTCTCTTTAATTGTTTTGGGTCGAACACTTACATCATTTAGAAAATATTTAAATAATTTTAAAATTCATTATATCATCCAATTCAACCACATCACATTTTGGTTATAACTTTGACTCTTATACTTTTCCTTTTTCCGGTTCAATGTACGATACATTTTTATAATATTAGTTAGAGTAAACCTAGGTCATATATATTTTCATAACATTACCTTTCTAAACAACTTAGCAGTATAAAACTTGTAACACAACAAGTATTGAAGAAATGAAGTGCATTTGAAGGAGAAAAAATTAAACAATATAAAAAAAAACAATGTTGATCTTTATTACAATAACAACAACAAGCCTTTATCCCACTAAGTGGGGTTGGCTACATGAATCATCTTTCTCCATTGCATTCTATTGAGTTTCATATTTTCATTTAATTCAAAAAGATTAAGATCATTTTTTATACAATATACCCGTCTTTTTAGGTTTATCTCTGCCTGTCTAACATAAGTCAAATCTAAAACATCTACTCACCTAAAAGGATCGTCAGATGGTTGACCTTTAATATGACCAAACCATCTACTCTAATCTTGTCCATCACTGGAGCAACACCAGCTTTATCATGTCCATCACGTATATATTCATTTCGTATTTTGTCTCTAAGTGTCAAGCCACTCATCCACCTAAGCATTCTCATCTCAACAACACTTTGTTTTATGCTTCTCATTTAAAGGCCAACACTTTGCGCCATAGAGCATTGCAGGTCTCACCACCATCTTATAAAATTTTTCTTTTAAGCTTAAGTGGTACTTTCCTATCACAAAATAAGCGTAAAACATTCATCCACTTCAACTAACCAACCTGAATACTACTAATAACATGTCCATCTATATCACCATCACTTTGACCATCACTTTGAACAATAACTTTGAACAATAGACCCGAGATATATAAAACGTTCACATCTTTTAATGATTTGATCACCCATAGTTACAACAACTACTACTTAAATTACATTTTATGAATTCAATTTTAGAGCTACTCAAACGAAGGCCTTTAAACTCCATTGTGGACCTCAATAATTCAAGTTTTTCCTGAATTCTTTCACTAGTCCTTTTTGCAAGAAGGATATCATCAGCGAAAAGCATACACCAAGGTACATTCTCCTATAAATGTCTGGTAAGAGCGTTCATAACTATAGCAAAAAGATATGGGCTTAAAGTCGATCCCTGAGGTAGTCCAAATGAAATAGGAAAATACTTAGTCAATCTTCCTTCTGTTCGAACACAAGTAACCGCTCTAGTATACATACCTTTAATGACTTGAATATAAATTTTATCAACACATTTCTTCTCTAGAACACTCAAGAACTCTCCAAAGGACTTCTCTTGGAACCTTATCGTAAGTTTTTTCTGAATCAATAAAAATCATATGCAGATCCTCCTTACTCTTTCTCTGTACTCTATCAAACCCCTTAATAAATGTATAGCTTTTATAATAGATATGCCCGACATAAATCCAAACTGATTATGGGAAATTTTTGTTAATCAATTAGCCTCTCCCATTAATTTAAAGTATAACCCATCAACTTAATTTTTCTATAATTTACACACTCTTGTGGATTCCCATTATTCAATAATGTCCATTGATTATAAAATTTGTTAAGTCTAAAGCAATAATAAAAAATTATAAAAATTATTCTTGAGGGTAAGAACTATAAAATAAAATATGACAGGCTTCAAGATGGTGCTTCCCACTCTCATCATAAAAAGATTGGAAGGAGGGAAGGTTATCAATGATTTCTCATAAATATAGACAAGGGAAGGGCGTAGTTCATCATCTTCATGTACTGTTCTCAATGTCACCAAGGCGTGTAAGGCTTGAAAGGAAATCTGCTTGTGCTTGCTTTGGATCCCAAGTACTAGAAGTACATATTGAAGCAACACATAAGAAATGTACATTATGGTTAACAAGTGCTTGGTTGTAGATCACAAGCACAAAAATTTTGCAGTGATTTCTGACAACTTCTCAACTTATTGCTATCTGGAAATTCTAGATTGAGATAAAAAAACAAGCCTAGATATTGTTGTGCTTTCACTATGGCATTGCTAGATGCAACGACAATTGCAATATGGCAATAAGCACATTAAGAGTTGCAAGTGAGGTTATGTGTCGCAAATTAAGTTAGATGTATATCATTTGGCACATTTAGTTTTCAAGGAAATGAGGGATCTAATGTAGTTAAAATACAACAAACATTTATTTTGGATTAATTTTACTTCATTCCAAACACTCATAAATTAAAATGCATGCAATAACTTTTTACTTTGCACTCATTTACCTCAAAACATAATTATCCTATAATCGCAAGCATGCAAGTGTCCTCTGCTTGTCGGCTCTTGTGTTTTTCCTCACAAGGGCCTGCTCCCTCTTGTTGCACCCATCATTGCATGCAGCATGTCAAGCCAGCATGTCACTCCCGTTGGTACCCCATAACTCATGCTCACTCGAGTTTGTTCTCACAGGACAATCCATTTATTATATTATTAATTTCTTTCATGGCAGAACATCTCCTCCTATCTATGTAGAGACAAACTTCCAATTCACTTCCTAGGGCATGCTCTATGTGTTCTTTATCGGAACTTTTGGGAGCAGGAAAGTCTCCACCTCTCTTGTGATGGCTCTGCAAATGTTGATAGCTTACAAGCTCCTATATTTTGATTAATTATAATGCAGAGGCTCCAACCACAAAATCTACTAATCAAACATGTTTTTCGCTAATGTTATATGACAAAGAGGTTCTTTGTAGCCTAATTGATATATTAGTTTCAATTTATTCTTTCAATATGACTCTTAGATACACGCCACTCTCTCTCCCTCTCCCCCCTCTCTTCTTCTCCCCCTCTCTCTGCTTCAGATATGATAACATCATTTTAATACACCTTAGTTCGTAATTTTTTCTTTATATTCCTAAATTTGGAGATCATGCATGCTTTCATGCCTAATGTGCGACCAATAAATGCTTTATGTTGGACTTCTTGATTGTCATTATATGCTTATCCAACATATTATTCAATACTTTTATCTCATCGTTCATATCATATGCATGGTCTATTGATGAGTATTTGCAGTGGCCTCAAAACATTGCAGCTGAGGAGCTTCCTATTAATCTTATATGGATTATTTTTCGTATTCATATTTTCTATACCATCTATACAATTCTCAGATCATTTCTTAGAAAGTCATTATAAATGGATGCTTATACAGTCAAATTATCCTGACCAGTTATGGCCCACATTCATGCTGACATAGATGTTTTTTTGCCTTTGGCTATAGAGTTGGATTGGCACTTAATATTGTTACTGGCATAGTGGCACTAAGGGTTTCCCATTATTTTAGTCTTCCAGAAGATTTAGTCATAATTATGTTAATAGCTTCAAGATTCACCTTGAATAGAGAAAGGGTCTGAATCTTTAGACTAGCTCTATGAATTATGCTATGAACACGCAAGGTTTATATTCAGTAAATACTAAGATCAAACTAATCCTACCAACTTTCTGTAAGATGCACCATTGACTTATAATGTTCTCATGCTTTGGATGCTACTCTAAACTCTTCTTCTGAGCAACACGTCTTCCCAAATTATTGTTCGCCGTGTGTCCTTCCTTCTCCCTCATCTTCAATATTACAAATATTCTTGTTGTGTCTACTGATACTTCAAAAACAATAGGGAAAGCTATATGTTAGCCTCTTGAGGATCCCAATTCCAACTCTCTTTTTCCTATATGATGTTACAATTGTGTTCGCCAATGCTACAATGATTATTTTGATGTTGAGGTTATTAATGATTCAAGCTTTTTCAATCACAAGTTTCTATCAGAAGTTTTCCTGGATTGGTGGATAAAAGGTTTCAGCTTGGGTTTACACGAAGAGACAGAAATAGGAAAAAAAATTCTTCGTTCTCCTAAATTTTTTTCACTTTCCTATGCTTACTAAAATTCTGGCATACTAGGTTTTTTCTCTGAATGTGGGCCTGCTCCTCTAGCCTCAGATTTATAGTACATTATTACTTTCTAAACTTCAAATTATCTTGATCCAATGTATTTTTTTCTTTGCTTTTTTGTAGGCAGTTCTTTGTAACTGCTTGTTCAAGTAGTTTTTTAACTGATTAAAAATGAAATTTTATTGCCTTTATCAAAAAAATAATTATAATACAACCAAACAGCTCCTTTGTGAGAGCAAAAGGATCTAAAAATAAGAAAAGTGAAAACTTTGTAAAATGTAAGCGTTATGTACTTGCTAATGAATTTATACCTCACCAAGAGTTAAAGGCGTTCTTCCAGGAACAGAGGGATAAAATGTGAGTGCAACAATTCGAGTAAGGAAGTTCAATTCACCCTCCAATTCTTCAAAGTCATACAGCATAGGAAGGTAAGAATTTTCTTGAGCATGTAAGCGTGCACTATTTCCGGTGACAGCTAAATCTTCTGGATCAATTCTACCAGTCAAAGGAATCAACAGATTTGTCCCGCTTGAACATTGAGGTATACATGCACCCTGCAAAAGCAAAGGGAATACTAGTGATATAGGTCAATTTCAATGTCAAATATAAGAATGGCATGATTCAGCACGTTAACCAATAAGTTGCAAAAATAATTAAAAAAATAAATAATAAAGCACAAATAATATTATTAGATTAAAACAATCAAAGATAGGTAAATATATAAAGTATTACTAACAATGAAATAATGGCATATAGAAATAAAAATTATTGCTGCTCATGTAAGCCACAACTCCGAAAACACCCCAAAATATATTTCGGTTTATTCGATTAAATTTAACCAAATTTTAAAATACTAATGAAGATGTGTGCATTTAGTTAATTCGGATTAATTAACTGGCACATTTATTAAATTAATTGGTCCACGGATTTAGTTTAACCAGAATATAATTCAATTTTTTTTGTTTAATTGAATTTTTTTTTACTAAAGCAATAAACGAAATCCAAATAACCCTTAGTCTGAAACAAAAAAAACTGAACCGTGATTTTAAAAATCAAATCAAATCAATGAAACATGCCCGATTTGATTTTCCGGTTTAAACCAGTTAATGCACACCCTTATTAGTCTCCAAACTATAAAGTTAAATGCTTTCTCATGTGACCTTTTAAATGTTAGTTATAAAATTTCTTTATTTAAAAAAAAAAATTCACTACATACAGCACAAGTGGTACTTGATCCTCCAAAGAAAAGACCAATGCAATAAATCATCTCAAACGTTTTTATATGCACATAATTATCAGTATGCATTAAAAATCCCTAAAACTTGATCTCAAAATCTTTTCTAAATTTAATGTAACCAGTTCTTCATTCAACATGTAACATTGTAATTCTACGAGAGCTGCCTTGAATTGACGTCATCATCAATCAAAGTTATCAGTAGAAACAATATTAAGCTAGATATGAGAAACAGCATGTAACTTTTAGCCAAACAAATGGCAATATTTTTTTGTTCAATATATAGGCAATATGGAAGACTTGGGCGTCGACCATCTGTTGATCTGATTAGGAGAGTAGATGTTTTATATTCGACTTATGTTAAGAAAAACAGAGGTAGCCTAAGGAAGACTTGGGCTTACTGTATAAAAAATGATCTTAATTTATTAGAACTAAATGAAAATATGACACTAAATAAGATGCAATGGAGAAAAAGGATTCAGGTAACCGACCCACGTGGTGGGATTAAGGCATTGCCGTTGTTGTTGTTGTTGTATACCGGCCATATGGAAATGCTTTTCACAAGCGTTCTTCCTACAGATCCTTATCTTCATATAACCTACACTACAAATGACACAATCCTGCCATAGCTATCTAGTATCATTCTAAATTTATTGCATAAGAAAATAATATAAGTCATGAAAGTTCATTGTGCTCTGAGAAGCCAAGGAACAAAAATTTCAATAACTGAGGGTCCGTTTGGGATCACTTTATGTTTCTTACTTTTATTTTTAGTTTGTTTTGTATTTGTTTTGTTATTTGTTTTCTATTTTTAGAAAAATGCATTTTGTACTGTTATGATTTATATGTTTTTAAAAGATAAAAATATAAAACATATTTAATTTGGTATTTTTTATTTTTTTGTAAGAAAAAATTATACATTTTATAAAACGGTTCGGTCCACATGCCCTTTAGTATTAAGCTCTGTTGCTAATGATATACGATGTCTTCCTTGATTCACCCGGCATGAAGCATTAAATGTGAGCAGGTGGCGGGTGTGGCTAGTTAGAATTAGCGGTGGGTGCCTACCGGCAAGCAGGGCGGCGGTCAGTGGTCGCGGTTTGGCGGCCAGCGGCGACTGCAGCAGCTGCGGGTGGGGGTCAGCAACAATGGGGGCCTGCTATTGGTAGTAGAGGCCAACAACAGCTGGTTGCGGGCGGCAGGCGGCGGGGGGTGAAGCGGCCAGCAACAGCGGCTGGCAACAAAGCCTTGCACAGGTAGTCCTCCAAAAAATATATTTTTAAAACAACAAAACACAATTTCTTTGTTTTAATGCTTTGGAAAATGAGACTCATGTGTTTTAAAAATAAAATAAAATAAGAAAAAAAATGAATAAAAAATACTATTTTTGAGTTTGTTTTTTGTTTTTTGTTTCAAAATGCAGAAAACAAAAAGTTATTCTAAACAAGGCCTAAGCTTTTAATATTATGTCTAAAATAAGAATCCTCGAAAATAATGTCAATCACCAAAAAAAAATTTTAGCTGAGAGTATGGATTCTGCTGGTGTATTTAACTTGGAACTTGAAATATATAAATAAAAGGCAAGTGTATTTTTCTTATTTGTAATGTATTTTTAAATTGTTGATTTATAGCTTAATTGTTTTACGGTAATGATTTATAGTTTTTTAAGAAATTGAGTTTGAAACTTTAAATGTATATTTCATTTGTAACTTGTTTTTGAAAATTTGTATTAATATTGTTGAAATAATTTTTTTTAATAGAGTGATGTTATTATTTATTGGTTTTTCCCCTCTCATCGCTTAAATAGTGATTGTGGGTCTTATCACTGTTGTGTCGAGGTCGTGCCCCACGTAGTGGGATTAAGGCTTTATTGTTGTTGTTGTTGTTATTATTATAGAGGGATGTTATTTATTTATTTTTGGTAATTTGAGAATTAATAATTAAATTTATTATCATTTTAACAATTCAAAAAATATAAACAAATTTGAAAGATTTCGAACAATTTCAAATATTTCTAACATTTCGAATTAATTTCAAACAAATTAAATCAAACACGAACTGTAACTTAACGAACAATTTCAAACACACTTAATTTCAAATGAACCAAACACAAACACGAGCTCTATTCGTTCGAGTTCGGTTCGTTTACACTCCTAATCTGCATTATAGGCTTCGCGCTTAAGGAGAAAAGCCGCTTCTTCTTCGCCGGAATATGGGGCAAAGAAGTGAAAGAGAGCAACCGACTTGAATTTTGATATTTTTTTTTACGAAACAGTAGAGCGGAGCCAGACTGCTGCACCCTTTTCACGATTCAAAATAGAGAGAAATAACATTTTGGTGGGGAAAAAAATTCTGAAAAATTGAATGCCCAAACAAAACCTTTCCGTTCTGTAAGCGTGTTGTAGAATGGAACGAAGCCTAAACACCTATTCAAATGAAGCCTAATACTGCCAATCAACTTTCTTATCTTTAATAAGATTCACAAACTTCAATTTTGTAATTTTAGGCAAGTTTCCAAGACTAGCTTTACCTAACACAAAGTTTAAAATATAAGAAAATATTTTTAAAAATTGGCATTTTTAGCAATTACATTCTAAAAAGAAGAAAATAAATCTAAATAAAGTAAATATTTAATTTAGCAAGTTGCCTTACAACTTAATAGTTAAATTGATATAATTTATTAGGGGTGGAGCAGAGCGGGGAGGGGACCTCGAACCGATTCAGTCCCAGTAAGGAGGAAAATTATTGCATACGGACACCGCATGCATCCAATACTGACCGTAAATAACAGTGATCTTATGGTCAGAATATATTTCAGTTTTAAAAAAAAAAAAAATAGGTGAGGCCCACCGAAATACATCCTGATCAGGATCGGACACCGCATGCAGAGATGCAGGATCGGACACCGTATGGAATAATTTTTCCAGTAAGGGAGGGCGTTCAACCCTCTCTCTAGGACTAGGGTTGCCACTTTCGTGTTGAAACGTATCCAAATAAATAAGTTAGGTCCATTGTTGATTATAAATATGCAGTAGTTTATTGTATTTTGACTTTTGTGGGGGTTTGTGCTCCTTTGTGGCTCTCGAATGGGGGATGAGACTTTATCACGATGTTGAGTGGTGGCAACTGTGTCTCTTAATTATTGATGGTGACATCCTGGGTCTCCTTATTTCGTCAATCCTTCAGGTGGCAATTTATATACTCTGATCGGTTGTGAAAATATGGTTGTAAATTTACCTCAAAGATTGTTAATCACTTCAAAATCAATTCGAATTTTGGCTTGATCGAGATCAAATTGAAATAAACGAGTCGAGCTATGAGTCGAAACTTTGGATCAAAATTTTTTCAAGCCGATTTCGAGTCATATATGGATCGGCTCGAACTGACTCGAGTTCGGCTAGTAATATTTTTTATTTTAAAAATTTATGTGTGTGTGTGTGTGTGTATAATGCTAAGTAAAATTGAATATAACGAGTCACGAGCCAACCAATTTTGTGTTGAAACGTATCCAAATAACATAATTTGAGCCAATTAGTTTCAATTTTGAGTTGAATCGAGCTGATTACGAGCTGAAACAGATCAAAATAACTCAATTTGAGTCAACTCGGCTCGAAATCAAATATAATGAGCAACAAGCCAATTTTGACCCGACCGTAGCTCGGCTCGAAATCAAATTTTTAACAGCTCTGTGTGATAGTAGGAAACTCTTATATCATGTGTCTTTTATTTGATTAGCGCGTCTCGTCTTTGTTTTGGTTTTTTTTTGTCTTAGATTGCTTTCATAGTTGTTCTTGTTAAATCTTCTCCAACCCGACTTCCCTAGTATTATTTGATATCAGAGCTAGTCTAACCCTAATTCCATCCTAGATTATCAAAATCCTCCTAAGCCTAAACCAACCAAACCATAGCAAAATCTTGGTCCAACCATAATTCCGCCAGCAATCCTAAATAATTTTTCTGCACTTAAATCAGTCTCATACACCCTCTTTTACCTCCCAAATCCAAACCCACCAAACCAAAGCTAAATCTTGACCTAAGCCTAACTCCCCTTTCTAATTTTTAAAATCAACAAAACTAAATAATTTTTATGCACCCTAAATTAGTCCAATACACCCTCTTTTACCTCCTAAACGTAGACCTTATCCATGCCACCAATGAGATAAGTGTTGAAAGTCAAAGGCCTTCGAATCCTGGGATGTTACGCTCCGCCACCTTCAACTTGGCTGGCCTGATGTCATATCATGAGTCAAAAGCTTCAACATATGAGGTTGAAGCTCCACCAACCCAGATAGATCGATGCGGGGTGGGGAGAGGACCCCAAATCGATTCGGTCCAAGTGAGGGAGGGTAGGTCGGATATCTCTCTTAGGCTAAGATTGTCGCCAACTCCTAATAGCAACAAAAGTATTTTCGTCTGTTTATTTATATTAGGTTTAGGTCATTTGTTGATTACTAATATGCAATTGTTTATTATATTAGGGATATTTTGGTTCATTTGAGTTGTGCAAGGGCTTTGTGCTCCCTTTATGTTTCGCGGATGGGGGTCTCTATCCATGACGTTAGGTAGTGACAATTATATTCTTTTGTTGTTGGTGGTGGCAACTATATCACTTCGTTGTTGGCGGTGGCTTCTCGGTTCACCTTGCTCTGTAAATCCTTTGAGTGATTATTTTTTTATCTTGATCGTATGAGATTAGAAAACTCTTATATCATGTATCTTTTATTTAATTAGTGCATCTCATTTTTTTCTGGTTATTTTTTTTCTCGGATTACTTTCTTGACTATTCTTACTGAATTTTCTCCAACCCCCCTTCTCTAGTATAAAAGGGTGGCCTATTATTATATTTTTATTTTTGGCATTCGTTCTTTTATTTTGCTTTCATTGTTAATTAGGGTTATTATGATAATTCGGGTCCCTAGGAGTTATTAGTGTCTTCTATAGATACTCATGCATTGTTTGTTTTGTTTTCAGGTAGAACCAGAGAGAGGGTGGGTTTTACCCTTCCTTGGGGTGGATTTCCACTAAAATTAGGAAAGGTGGGGGAGAGGAGCCATAGTGGAGCCTTAGGTTTTGCCAAGATGGCTTCTTCTTTCCTTTAGCTTTTTCCTTATTGGTGTCAATTTCCTTCTTGAAAAGTTGCATTTTGCATTACTGTATCAAAAAGATGGAACGAAGGCATTGCCAGCTGGGGAATTCAGAAAAACTGCGGGTGACAGCAAGTGCAAAGAAACATGATTCTAGGATGGAGATTCCAGTCTTGATTTCAGAATCAAATTTTCAGCAGTTTGTTCAAGGAAGTCCCTTGAAAGATCTCTAGACATGTTTCTTTCAACCTAACTGAATCCAGTTCCGGATACAAGAACCCATACAGAGTAGGTTTTCTATTCTAGCTTCAAATTCTTTTCATTGGATCTCCACAAAAATACTTGATTTCTGTAACTCATTGTTTGCAGGTGCTGGGAAAGACAGCATGTGCTTGATTTCTAGCTCAATGCCTCAGTTTACATGCAATTGGGCACAACCCAAGTTGCTTAGTACAGTTATCTATGCCATAAGAGACAGAAACTTACCCGGAACATCTTAATTGACTTTGAAATAGGAAAACTGGCAGCAGTTAAGTAGCTGTGAAGAGTTTGGCTACAAAACCATAATACAATCACACCTGCTTGTATTATTTTTTAAATTTTCTTCGGATTGATTAAGGAATATAAGTTGTAATTTATTTGTGTATATATCGAAGATTATCTGCTAAACTATTGTGAATTTTACCTTCGCTAATATTACCATTGAAACCGCTTATTCTGATTCAAGAATAATCTTATTTTCCGGTGGACATTTTTTATCTCTTGTTATAACTAAAGAAATTAAATACAAGAGATTTGCCTTACAACAATGTTGCAGGGTCAGATATGCTTGATGCAAAGCTAAAAAGAAAAGTCATAAGCTTAGAAAATTGAATAAAAATAATCTACCTCAAGGACAAGTTTAAGCCTATCAAGATTACATCCTGTTCTAATATCTACAGTTGCAGGATATGATGAATCATCCGCACCATGCGAGACTGTCAAAAGAAGCTGACAGACATGGCAAGGTTCTGCAAGGTAGATAAAAAGTTCAACAACATCAGCTGCTGGAGGACAAACCTGCACAACAAATTCATAAAATTAGATAGAGAAAAATAACAAGAATGACTAAAGAAATTATCACACTGCATGCACAAAGAGTATGAACAAATTCAGGAAGACGTTACCCAAATCAAGTCCTTCTTCCTAAAACTAAGAAGACATGAACTGCCACTTTCAATCGGTTTCAAGCTTGGGATAGGTTTCAAGAAGCATCCAGAGGGCCGTGACAGAACCTACATGAAATTAAAAATTAATTTAGGGTTGCAAATAAGACAGCATGCAAATTCCGAAATGAAAAGACTGGGCATAAGTAATCAGATAACAAAACAAACTAAGCATGCTCCAACAATAACTTTTTTTCTAATGGGAGGGATATCTCTCCTACAAATGACAGTATGCATGCAAAAAAATGGACAGTATTCAAAGGGAAAAATATAACAAAAAGAAAATTTACCAGTTAACTCAAAAACAACTAGTCTCAAATTGGCCTTTCTGACACTATTTTACAAGCCCAATCATGAACATACTTGCAACTTACCTAAGTGTCCGAAAAAACAAAAAAAAAGAGAGAGCTGGTTTTGACTAAGAAACCAATGATTTGAACTTTCTAGTTTTCAATTCCTTTAACTCAAATTTCCATTATAAAAATACGGCCTTGTAACTCCATAAGCACCTAAATACACTAAGTCAACTCTACTTTAGTAGTTGAACTAGTAGACCGCAACCCTTTGTCTTCCCCAGCCATTTTCCTGTCAACCTCAAATACACCGTGTCACTTCAGAATTTGACAAACATGAGTTAGTGTCCTTTTCCTCAGCCATGGAGCAAGCCATCCTCGTGCACAGCAATGGAGTTAGTGCCCTTAACTGAAGAGGTATTTCACTGCCAACCTCAAATGTCACCTTCATCTTCTTAAAATATGTCATCTCTTATGTTTCTCCCTTCGCCACTCTTTTCCCGTTAGGAACACCAGTGTTGCCGTCACCCACGCATAAACCATTATCCCATTTTTTCACTTCTGTGTTGAAGTTGGAGCTCCTTCGAATACTGCGTTCCATGGTATATGCTTGCAGGACTCTGCATGCCACAGAACCAATCCCGCAAACACAGGATGGTGAACAGGATTTAATAACATCTGGATAGGATAGGAGGAATTTCCGCGATCCGCAAGTGAGATGAGCGGCTTTCCTGCTATTTCAGTGCCACCAACCAGTGGGGGGCCCATATTAAAATTTTTTTTAATTTGAATTAGGATTTTTGGGAGGGAATTATTTACATTTTGTTATTATCTAATTTTTGAAGACTTTTACTTAAATTTTGTGTTTGTGGAAGGTTGTAATCTTTATTTTCTCTCTTAAAGAGTATTATATCATCTTCCTTTGCAAGTGGTGTGTTTGTAGCTTGTGCAGGAACATGTGGAGACCCTCCTAGCCATCCATACAATGTCATTTTGTGGTTTCATCCGAAGTTTTCAGCAAGGACAGCCACCGATCATTGTACAAACACCACCAAACTTAAATATTATCATTCCCTTGCAATTCCACAACTACCTCCCCATTAAATCCCCTTCCTAAACAACATCTAAGAGCCCTAAAACAGTATGATTTGGTATCAGAGCCCGATAAACCCAAATTTTTTAGGATTTGTCCTTCCTACGTCTAAGCTAAGAATCCATACAACCTAACCTAAAACCCTCAACAAGTAAAAAAAAAAATCCCACACAATCTACTTGGCCCTAACCTTAGTCCTAAAGCACAATTTTCTTTTTTTCCAAAACCCCCATTAGTAGAACAAGATATCATGCCTCTGAGGAGAAACCCTCGATGGGCTCTTCACGAACTCGCTATGGAAGACATGCAAAAAAATATCTACAACTGCAACAGAGGCTTGACGCCTTTGAGAGAAGACAATCTAGGGAGATCACTCATCGCCACAACGATGACTCTCAAGATCAATAGAAGAAAGTGAAACCATTTTATCAAAAAGTTTTCAGTGATGAAAAACTAATACCTCGACGATTTGACATAAAATATCAGAGGAGAAGAAGGTTTGAGCAATAGCGGATTTAGCAAATTTTAATGGTCATATAAATTCGGACGGGTTTATTGAGTGCTTTCAACAGTGGAATGAATTATTTAATACAAAGACATTCCCAAGGACAACAATGTTAGACCGGTGGTCATCAAGCTCAGAAAGAATGCTTCATTGTGATGGGAGAACCTGAAACGTATTTGACAACGAGAAAAGAAGAATAAGATCACCATCCAATATTAAGATGAAAGTGAAGATGCAACGTGAATACCTTCCATTGCATTACCAACAAGATAAGTTCATAAAACTCTACAAAGTACACAGATAAATTTGATCAACTCATGCAAAAAAAGCGATTTGATCGAACCAGAAAAGCATAAGTGGCAAGATATCTTGGAGGATTGAGATCATCTATTGGCAGCATGGTACAATTACATTCATATTAGACATTACAGGATGTTCAGACCCTAGTTCTGAAGATGGAGAGACAAATTTAAAATATCAGATCCACACCATCCTTCAAATCAGACAAAAAAGATGCACCTAGTAAAACACCAAAGCCGACAGTTCCAAAAGAGTCACTCATGCAAAGTAGAGAAAATGTGGAGACTACCAGTGCTCATAAATTCATCCAGTCATGAAGTACTTCAAATGCTGCGACTTTGGCCATTCTGATTAGATAACCCAAACAAAAAAATGATCTCATTCACGAAACAATGAGCAATGAAAAACATAGACATAGACACAGAAGACTAAAAAGATGAGAACGCAAATGACGAATACCAACTTCCAGTTGGTTGACAAGGGAGAGATGATAGTAATCTAACAGGTCCTTCAGACTTAGCCTATGAGAGAAGCACCATCACAGTTAGCATTGGTTGTCCTAGATGACCATCAGTCTAAGGAGATGATACCAAACACATAATAGCCCCAACTAAGTGGATTTTATGATTGTCTAACCTACAGTCAACCCCTGGGTTGCCACTGAGAATGGTCCAGCATAAAATAGATTTCATTTCATAGTCGGTTCCTCCAAACATACTTGTTTATTAGATGTGGGCACAATTGAATATGAGGAATGTAAGAAGCAGGTTAAAAATATGATTATTTATTCTATCAGAATAGACCTTGGAATGAAGACTATATTTTAGAATTGTATAGAATGTGCATGAGCATAGATTTTATAACGAAGTTGCTTCAGACACAACAAGATAATGACTTTGCTATGATGGTGCTAGATCCATTCTAAAAGCCTCCATAACTAAAGTGAATACTGCGTTCCGCGGTATCGTGATTGTTGGATCCCGGAATTGCAGGATTTTGCACGCTGTAAAACCAATCCCACAAGCATGGGATGATGAACAAAATTAAATCCAATCCCGATAAGAGGAATTTCCACGATTCGAGAGTGAGACGAGAGGGCTTTCCTGCTATTTCAATGTCGCTAGCCCCTGAGGCCCACATTTAATATTTTTTTAATTAGAAGTAGGGTTCTTGAGAGGAAACTAATCATACTTTGTTGTTTTCTTATTTTTAGACACTTTGCTTGATTTTGTGTTTGTGGAATATTGTAATTTTTGTTTTCTACCTTAAGGAGTATTGTATTCTCTTCTTTTTGTAGGTGTTGTGTTTGTAACTTGTGCAAAAACAAGTGTTGACCATCCCTGCCATTCATACAACATCGTTTTCTGGTTTCATCCACTATTTTCTGCAGGAACAGCCGCCGATCGGCGTTGATCATCATCCAAATGCCATCAAATTTGCATATTATCATTACCTTGTCATTCCACAACCACCTCCCCATTAAAGCCCCTTCCTAAACACCTTCTAAGAGCCCTAGAGTGATATAATGCGTGCTCTTCAAATTTCAATGTCGAGCCATCAACGCCATCATTTCTCTTTGAACCTAACCACCAAACCTCTCCCAATATTTTCTCTTACATTTCAATTCTGCGGCATAGCAATATGGTTACCAAATGTAAATGGAGAGGGCAATTGAAACCAATAAAGCCCAACATGATCCAACCCTCAATTCAATAGATGGAGAGAAGTTCGAGATGCTAGTTGACAACATAATCTCATCTGTCAATAACATATGTTAGCTAGTCAAAAAAGAAGAGCAACAAAGCTAAATCAAACTGAAACTTTAGTTGAAAGTTTCTGCTTTTAGCACTCATGCGATTTATACGCATTCCTTGCTGTCGGTGTAAAGTCAGGGAAAAGTAAGAAGTCCAAAGTAATGAAAATGATGAAACCCTCATGCTTATTTTAACTATGGGATGCAATCATAAACTCACTAAAAAGTGAAGTACTAATTGCTAAAGCGTGAAAGCAAGGTACTCCATATGTTGTAAGCCTGAGTCTGTCGAGTTTCTCATTACAGGTGTTTGCTGCTTCAATAAAATAAAGTAATCAAAAACACCAGATTCACACAAAATAAGTCATGATCTACTAAAATAAACTTTAAAAGACTATGTAAACTGACAATCAAATAGACATACCAGGAGCCACACTAAGTAAAACTATGACAACAAAACCAACAGAAGAAAGCAGTTACATGAAATCGCAGAAGCATTTAGCTGGAAAGCAGGCAATCTCTGAGCTTCGTTAGTAGCATGCTTTGAGTTAATTTTTGTACACTGCACAACCATGAAATAAACAAAGTGTTGGTCTGAGCCATTGAATTTGCTTGCTTGCCACAACATTTCATTACGTATATGCCAGCTAGTTAGAAGAGACGAAGAAGACAACTGAAAACTATGTTACCCAACTGAAAGAGTTAGAAAGACTAAAAGATGCTGCCAGCTGGCTCCAATAATCGATAAGGTTTCGAGCTTTGGATTTCACAGTTTGTGGAAATTAGGAGAAAAAGAAGTAAATATCATTCAAAACTAGCAAAATTACACATCACTTTACATGTGTAGCCACATCATGAGGAATCAGTCTGTCCGACATACGTGATATATCAGCAGCAGGACATAGCACGCCTAATCAGATTAACCCTTGCTTGACTTTGACCAAGAATAGATAGAGGCTACACTTAACAGCCCAGTTTTAATAACTTAACATTGTCAAAATATCCAAACCTTCAGCGGAAAAAAAATTAATATATTGATTAGAGCCTATAATTAAACCTTATGTTTTTTAGGTAAAAGGTGCATACAAACATTCATCCTCCATAAGTGTGTAAATCGAAGGCCTT